TAATAGCGCTGTCGAATGCATCCTCTTAGTATTATTGAAAAGGGAGATAAGGGACATCTGCGCAGTGGGATGGGGGCCCCTGCATCAAATTAAGCGGCAGGATACTCCACAGAGAGTGCCCAGGGATTGCAGGGACAGCGTGTGCGCTCAGGTAGGTGTTTGGATACCAGGAGGCTGCAAGGAGTTGTCCCCTTATCGAATGGTTCCTGTAAATGCCTAATCTCCGGCGCAGAAGAATACTCTGAGGATCCCCGTTATTTGAATTTAGGAATCGCTTGGAGGATGCTAAACCCCCCTCCCCATTTCACTTTTTCTTCCCAGAGATTCTTTACCCAAACACTCTTCTATTTTCAAAAAAAGCAAGACGCAAGCCTTGTCTCCTTCATTTCTAAAAATTGTACTGCCTAAAGTTTTTGCTGACTCCTTCTCTCGGAAAGGGTAAAAAAAAGAAATACGTATTTTTGCGAACCGTGCTACCAAGAGCAGGCGGCAAGCAGGGACCCTGTGGCGCACCGCACAGACTTGCAGCATCCCGCCCGGTACCCGCGGCCGTTGGCCTCTGTGATGGAGATTTTCTAGGAGCTGGGGTGTCAGCTTTTGGTGGGGTTCTTTGCTACAGGAGGGGAGGAATTGTGAAAGAAACAATGTCTTTTTAAGTAGGAATCCAATTAGTTTAGAGACCCTCCTGGCTGAAAACCTACTGATGCCTTTTAAACGTGAAAAAGCATCCAGGAGGTGGCTGCTGTCGGGGCAACGTTCAGAACTCCGACCCAGCGGGGTAGGAAGATGCGTTTCTGAAGTTGCTGGGGGGTTGGGATTGGGGGGTTTGCGTGGAGTGGGGTGGCGTGGGTGGGTGGTACCTTGTTGGTTTGGAGATGATTTATTCACTCGGATTGTAAAATCTAAAACGAGGCCCTGGGAAGCTGAAGAAACTACAGGGACCCTTGTGACCTGCTGCTGCCCGCCTGACGCCTCTCCGCTCTGACCTGAGCGAGGAAGGCTGAGGCCGCCCAGCCGCAGGGCGAGCTTCCGGGACGGGATGCCGCCTGAATTGCGGGAGAGGCGCTCCGGGTCCGGGAAAGGGCCCGAGCTGAGAAATGGACGTGGAGGCAGCGACTGTTTCTTAGGGTTAGGGGATCTGGAGCAGGGAGCATTGGCAGCCTCGGGCTGAGAGTCCCACCTTCCTTCCCGACACTGCAAACTCTGAGCGGTGCTTGGCTCCAAGGCGATGGAAGTCACCAGCCTGTCCGTTTTCCCAAAATTAATTTAAGGGACGGAGGCAATCCAGCCCCTGCCCCTTCGTGTAAGATAAAACAGGATTCACCACCTCTGCTCTGACCTTGACTTTGGGGACTCAGTGACACTCCCTCCCCGTGATCCTAGATTTTAGTACCTCCTCTAAAGAGATTTTCTTCCCTGGCTACCCTTCAAACGATGCGTTTTCTTGACTCCCCATCGAGGGGAGATCATGGAGGGTCAAATTCAGAGTGCCACCCGCGCTCTGGGTCCCAGGATGGCGCCCCAGAACTCCTTGCACCGCAGAAGTCTGTAAACGCTGAGACTCCGGGGAAATGGATATTCTGATGCAATTCCAAAGGCATCGCGCCTAGGGGATGTCCAAGCTCCCCTAGGAGTTGATCGCACGGGGACTGGCTGGCAGAGGTGGGCCCGGTGTGTGGTGTGGCGGAGGGATTGGGCGCTGAGTCCCCGGGCCGCATTTACACCTCTCCCTTTGTGACAAATCCATTTCCCCGGCCTCTGTGCTGCTTTCGCATCCGCCCTGGCCGGGCCCCAGCTGCGTCCGGTGGTGGCGCACACTTAGCGCCGGCCTGTGAGTGTGTGCGTGTGCGCGCGCGTGTCTAATTGACTTTCCGTCTACCTTTTTATGACTACATGTGTTTCCAACAAAAGGTCTTATTAGGACAATCTGGTTTCACTAATTTAGAGGCTGGGAACATGGAAGGCAGGTTTTGTGTGTTTTTTTTTAAAGAGTTTGCAGAAGTTCAGATTAAGAAATGACAGCGGGATGCACAGTCCTCCTAGGAATAGTCTGCCTGTTTTATGACCTGTTCCTCTTTTCTTTCCCTGACTGCCCCCGATCTAACACCACCACCCCCCTTCACACTCCACACTCCCCCACTAGCCACTGCATTCTCAACAGTGTTAAAGAACCATTTCCTTAAACCCTTAAGGTATTGGAACCTAAACGTTTTAGAAACTTACAGGGCTGTGAGAATCCGTAGTGCAGGAAAGAAAGGGGAGCGAATCTCAACCAACACGGAAACAGAATTCCAGGGGCTGGGTGTGCAGATCAGCAGGAGCCCTCACTTTGGACAGGACACTTAGCAGTTCCTTACCCAGGTTGTAATTCAAAAATTTGTAACATTAATGATCTAAAGGTGCAAGTGTAAATGGAGTCTGTTTTACCAATTTCAGCCTAAAGAAACTTTAGGAAGGACCTGTTTCCATATGGCTGGGAGAATAAAAGGTGTCTCAGAAGGTTCCCCATCTCTCCGAAGGAGATTCTCTTCAGGTCTCAGTCTGGAGGGGCCACCCAGCAGGCTGCACGAAGGGCCTGACTCTCGGTGAGGCCTCTGCCCTTGGCGGGCTCAGAGCCCAGCTCTAGTCTCTGCCTGGAGACTCCTCTGGTCTCTGACCACTGTCTCCCCCAGACTGGAGGCCCATCCAGTGCCGCTTCCAGGTAGCCCACAACCACCTTCTGGGCAACTCCTGAGGGAGGCCCGAGAACCGAGGGCAAAGGTCCTCCCCTTCACTCCAGAGATGATGGAGGAGGACAAGGGTACATTATTTCTAAGAGCAACAACTATTTGTTAGAATAGGCCTCTTGACATCTCTAGAAATCTAGGAAAACTAAGCCTGTCGTGTGTGTGTGTGTGTGTGTGTGTGTGTGTGTGTGCAGCCCCAGGTGAAGGTGATTTTTCCCCCCATCACCTCAGCTCTGCTTTCTGCTACCTCCTTTCGTAACTCTATGGACCATCCTTCCTCACCGTCCTCTCCCTGGCTGGCCTGGAAACCTCCGTTTCCTTTCCGGGTCCACTGCTCCCCACGGGGCCCTGGTACTGCATTCTCTGAGGTGTGCACAGTTACCAAGCAGGCAGGTTCCTGCAGCTCTCATCCCTTTGCCTCCCACACAGTCCCCAACTGAGCCCACTGCTTTTTGCTGGTCCTCATGCCCCCAGCAGATGCCACGTGGGCAGCAACAGGCCTGGGTGGCGAGAGGCCTGGGTCTCAGGAGCTGCCCGGTCGCCTTCCTCCACCTCAGGCACAGCCTTCGCCTGGGCTTGAGGGCACTTCCCAGGCAGCCTCCTTGGCCCAGCCTCGCTCTGTGGCACCCTGTGCCCACAGCTGCCCGCCTAGGCCTTGAGCCTGCTGTGGCCCGGGGCCTTGGGCCTGCTTTGCAAGCCCTCTGCTCACACTTCGGGCTGGACAGGCGCGCCCCACCCTCCGCTAAGCAGCACTCTTCACCACTCTGTTTTCTGTGGTGCGTCCAACCTCCTGGGCTCTGAATGGCGATAGCTTTTGGAATTGGTCATTAGCCATGGGAAACAAGGCCAGAATGTGCAGAAATGCTGAAGCTGAGCAATAGGTGCATGGACGTATGGAATACTATTCTCCCTATTCTTTATGCGTTTAAATGTTCCCTAGTAAACCTTTAAAAAGAATATCATTATACAGTGCATTTTCTTGGAGCTAAAGGTGTCTACTCAGACAATTAATGCTACCTGTGTGTGCAACAAGAGCAGTACCCAGCACCACTACCTACTCTCCACTGTCGGCTGCCGGAGGAACCCCTGCCTGTGTGCCTGGCCCTTACCTACAGTTGGGGACACCAGTCTTCACCCTCAGAATTGGCCATCGTTCCCTAGGGACAGGCCAGGCCAGACGCCCCGAGGCCCTCTGCCTCTGTGAGTACATAGGTCCCAATTCTATTCCGGCTAAAACCCGCTGCGGGGAGCCCACGCCGGGACCGATTGAAGAGTGGGGGGCAGCCTTCCGTGGCCAGCGCCTCCCCCTTGGGGGCTCCCACTGCTTTGCCCGGGCCTTGCCTCCAGCTGTTTCTCGGTCTAGTTTGTCTATTTTCTGAAACTCTGACATTGGCCATGTCTTTGAAAGTCACAGAATGCCTCGTTCCACAAGTTCCAAATTGGAAGACAAAATAGCAGTTGGCAAATAGTGACAGGGACAGAGATCCGCCGCCTTTTAAAACTCCCAGCCACGTCTAGGCTCCTGCAGACCCCACGGAGGAACTCTCCCGCCCCAGGTCACCTGGGATGAGCTGGGTGTCAGGTCCCTTAGAGTCACGCTTTAAAGCTTGGTTAATCACAGGAGGCGATATTCCTGGGGGCGCTAACTGCCAGTCCCGGGAGATGGGGAAGGGAGACCGCGCTGCAATTTTCCGGAGGTTTTGATGCCAATGGGGGAACTCCAAAGTGACCCGGGCTCCGCATGGGAGCCCAGCTTGCCCTGCGCATCTCGCACGGCATCTTGCGGGTCAGGGGCTGGGTTTCACACCAGAGGAGTCATTCATTCAAGCGTTTGACTGTGCCAGGCTCTCCACTGCTGCCCCCATGTGCAGGTGGAGGGGGCGGAGGGCAGCTCAGGAGGCTGTCCGGGCGCTCCAGCGCAGCCCGTCCCGCACGCCAGGCCCCCGAGCCCGGGAGCCCCGTGCTCTGTCCCCCTGTCCGCCTCTGTCCCTGCGGCCCCCTCACCCGCACCCAGCGCTGGCAGAAGCCCTCCCGTCCCCTGCACGGCGTCTTCACCGCAAACAGGGCGGGCTCCTCCCGTGTGCACCCTTCCCAGCCCCGCCGCCTTGCTCGCTGGGGACAGGGACGGTGCAGCGGCCTCGGTGCTCCTGACCCCGACCGACTGCCCTGGCGACGCCTTCAGAGGAGCCCCCTTCTCTCCTCCGGCCCTTCCTCCGCCACTGCTTCCCCCCTGGCCCCCGCCCTCGGTGCCAGACCCGCCGGGCCCCCACTCACTGTCCTGCTGCGGGGTGTCGCTGCCGCTGGTGAGCCCTGGCGACTCCAGCAGGCTGCGGCCCGCCTCGCCCACGCTCTCGTCCGCCTGTGCCGCCACCATGTCGCCGGCCTCCTCCAGGTCGAGCAGGTGACTGACGGAGAAGTTCTTCTTCGCCTGCAGGGTGTCGAGGTTGCCCGGGCTGTCCAAGCGGCCGCCCAGCGCCGGCTGCCGCTCCAGGACGTGCCCGTAGCTGGAGGTCATGGTCTCCCCCTCGGATCCCACCCACCCCCCTCTTCCCGCTCGAATCAACACCAAACGCTGTGGGCGCGAGGGGGGAGAGGAGCCGAGTGGGGAAGAGAGAGGGGGAGTGGAGAGGAGAGAGAGAGAGAGAGAGAGAGAGAGAGAGAGAGAGAGAGAGAGAGAGAGAGAGAGAGAGAGAGAGAGAGAGAGAGAGAGAGAAGAGGAGGGGAAGATCAGGGGGGAAGAAAAAAAGTGGAAAGAGGGCGGGGGACCCCTGGTGCAGAGCAGAGCGCTCTCCTGCCGCCGCCTCTGACAGCCCCGGCTGCCTTCCCGAGGCCAAGTCCGGTGCGATCCAAGGAGATAACCCACACCAAAAAAATAAAGTCCGACAGTCACCCTCCGTTCAAGTCAGGAGAAAAGAATTCCTTCCACCTCTCTCTCCAAAAGCGTCCACACGCACACACTAAAAATAATAGTAAGGGGGAGAGAGGAGAGAGGGGAAGCCAGCAGGGCGGGGGAGTTAGGCAAACACAAGAAGAGAGGAGAAGGGGTGGGAGAGAAGAATCAAAGTGGGTGTGTTTTTTTTTAAGGCTAAAAAAGTTATTCCCAGGCAAGAGTTCAAGCACCAACAGAAGAAGGCTTGTCCCAGCTTTAAAACATCTTCAAGAAAGCGTGTTCCCCCTCTCCGCACTCCTGCGGATTCTCAGGAGTGACTAAAGTTTCAGGAGGAGAGGGTGATGTCTTGCAGATGTACTGGAGAGCAGGATTCTCACTTTACTTTTCGTGAGGAAGGAGGGGGGAAAAGGGCTTCGGAGTCCGAAGGAGGGTGGTGGTGGTGGGTTCCCCCTTTCTCTTCTCTCTCCCCCTCTTCTTGCTCAGCTCCTTTTCCTTCTCAGTTGGATCAAGAAGCTCTCTGGCACTTCAAAAGGCACAAACTGGCATGCAGAGGACGCTTTGTAGGGAATACAAGAAAATTGGAGACCCCTGGGAGGGCAGATCTCGACTTAATAGGAGCCTGTAATTACGTGGCAAAGCCTTTGTGCGGTGCCTGACGATTTACAGACCCCCTTTCTCCATCACAATCTCCTTCTTCCTCCTTTTCCCTCGGACCGAAAAACAGTCTGATTAAGAAAACCCCCTTTGCCAACATCTGAGCCAGAGAGAGGGAGGGAGGGAGCGAGAGAGGGAGAGGGAGGGGAGGGAGGGGGCAGGGAAGAGGGAGGGAAGGGAAAGCAGAGAGAGAGCCCCTTTGGATTTTTCAAGTAAAGGTCTAATTATCATTCCCCCGCAATAGTATCACGGGGAGAACAGACAAACTGAAACCCACAGTCACTTCAAACGCGAAGATTATTTTCCTTCGGCGCGTTAACTCCTCCGGATTCGTTTAAGATCCTGTTGGGGGGAAAAAGTCTCATTTGCATGTTTTGATAGCAGCTGTAGGAAAACTGGTTGGAGACCATCCACAACTATCTCCATCAAATTTTCTCCCCTCTCTGCCTTTAAAAAACATTTTTTTTAATGTTTCCTGCTGTTCTAAGAGTTTGTTTTTTTTTGCCGTGGGGGGAGCGGTGGAGGAGCGTCTCAGAGAGAACTCGGGAGAGAGCAAAGCACAGGAGGGCTGCGTTTGGCCCTCCAGAGACAACCTATTAAATAATGCCATAAAGTAACGGGAGCGATCCTAATGGGAGTCTCCCACGCCTCTTCCGCGGACGGGGCAGATTGGGGGCGATCGGAAGGCACCGAATCGATCCGAGGCTCTCCGCGCCGCTGGGATTTCCCCCCACCCCCATCCCTCCACCCCCACCCCTACCCCCACCCCCCCACCCCCCCACCCCTACCCCCGCCGGGGCGGTAGGAAATCTACATATTTATTTAGCTGGAGGAAAGGACTCTGGAAGTCTATCACAAATGCTCCCCGTCTCCTCACCCCCCCCGCCCCCCCCCTGCCCAATTTCGTAACCTTTCTAGTGCGGCCAAGGTCGCTCCTGGGCAGGGACGCTGAACCCGGAGGGGCGCGCTGCCCGGATGCGGAGCCGGCTGCGCGCTTCCCGGCGGAGGCTGCGGCGGCGCAGGATCCCGCGCCCGGTACCTCGCGGCTTGCAGAGGGGAGGGAGGGTCCCACCGAAGTGGACAGACAATGCTCTGTCGTCTGTCTGCTGAGCCCTAACCTGACAGAGGACAGGGAGGTGCCGAGGGATTTTTTTTTTTCATGACCTGTTGGAATTTGGTAACAGCTTTTATGGTCTCATTAGAAATGAGTTACTATATGAGTAAGTAAAATATTAAGTGCTTATTTGTGGCGTTTTATGTTCCTTAAACACACACACACACACACACACACACACACACACACACACGCACGCCATCTCCCTTGATTACTAGATTTCTTTTTTTCTTCTTTCTTCCTTTTTCTCTATAGCCCAGAGACTGGACTGAAGAGAAAGGGTCCTAGTGTGTGTAAATGGTTTCTGGGCTCCAAACGGCCGTCGTTAGCCCAGAACTCCCGGCCCTGATCTGGGAAAAGAACATTTGATGCCATCAAAGGGCTGCAGATTGAAACCAGATGTGCACGCCTCGGTTCTTTCCATGCATTTAATTAAGGAGCCGGGATGGAGGAGACTTTTTCATCATTAGTCCACCCACTCCTCCCCCCTCCTCTTTCCATCCCCTCGCCCTCCCCACGCCTGCCTGCACCCCCGACCGGGAGCTCGGAGCCCCGCCAGCGCCGCCCGCCGCCCCGGCTCCCCGCGGCCCGGCTCCCCGCGGCCCGGCTCCCCGCGGCCGGCCCCGCAGGAACATCTGTCCGCGGCCCCGCGCGGGGCGCCGGCGGGAGGCGGACGCGCCCCGGGTGGGCCCGCGCCGAGCGGGAGCGTTGGGGAGGGGGTGCTTCCACGAGGATTCCCACCCCGGAGCCTACATCCAGCGCCACACGTGTCAGCGGCACCGGCTCCGAGGGAGGCGACTGGGTCCCGCGGGGAGATTCTCGCCGGGCGGCCTGCGGGGTGCGCCCGGGCGGAGGCCGAGGGGCCGCGCTCCCTCCCCTCCGTGCGCGCCAGGCACCGGCTACGGTTTGGTCCCCGGAACCCGAGCAGGCCCCTCTCCATCCGCACGGCCGTATTGTAAAGGCTGAGCTGCCTTTTGTGACAAAGGTCTGGGTCAGGGCCTGGGGCCTCTGGCCCCGGGGTGTGCTGCTGCCTTTGCAGACCCCACGCCCTTTCCGGGGAGGGGGAGGGGGCCCTGGAGAGGACCTTAGCTGCCTCGTCCCGGGTGCGCCGTCCTCCGGGTGGGTGACGGAGCGGGAGCGCCGGGAATTCAGGCCGCAGGCGCGGGGCTGCAAACAGAAGGGACGTCGCCCCTCAGCTTGCACCGGGCTCTCCAGCGGAACCAGGCGCTCCCTGAGCACCATCCGCTTACCAGCAGGTCCCACCAACCCACCTAGGGTGCTAGCGGTTTCCACAGGAACACCGCACCCAGCTGCCCAACAATTGTGGCCGGGATATGTGCATGTCTATACGCGATTCAAATGTCTGTGCCCTGTGTTTTCCCCAAACTTCTATCAGAACGAAAGCTCAAATACCGGCGCCCGACTGTGCGGAGCTGGTCCAGGCTGGGGGCCCCTTTGAAGGACTGGGGTGGCCTCTGAGGACTGCGGGAGGGAGGGGGCAGCGTGTTCTCCGAGTCCAGAAGCTGGGATCTGGGGGCACACGCCCAGGGTGCCCAGGGAAAGGGGAGAGCTCCGGTTGGGACAGGATCTCCAGGCAGACAGCAGGACTCCTCTCGCAGCAGTCTGAGCGCTTTTTATTTATTTTTTCCGGGGGTGTGGGGGGCGGGGGAGGGAGAGTTGGGGCAACCGGAGCGCAGAAGGCTTGCAGGGATCCTAACCCCTCCAGAAGGTGTCTCCTTCCCAGGGTGTCCCATAGGCCTCAACTGCAGAGGAGCCCCAACTTCCTCCAGCTCCTCCCAGGAGATCACCAAAGGGAGTCCTGAGACTGGGTTTTGGGGGGGATATGTGCTGTGAGGGTCCCCAAGAAAGCACAACACCCCAGGCATAGGCCCTGCAGGACTGATTTGTGTGTTTCCCCCTCTCCTTTCGTTTTCAATTAACAATTACTAGCGGATTGAATCCACAACCTGATTATGTTTTCATACAACATTTGTAATTTTGGGGGATTCTGGATTGTAATAGGGGGATTCACCCAGTAAATAGCAAAAGGCCAGAGGTGTGGGTTCCTGCTGCCAGCTGGCCGAGTGGGAAAGCTCTCTCCAAACCCTGGAGCCAGGGCTTTAGGTCCAGAGTGCCTTCTTGGGCACCAAGCATTTCCCTGCCTGGCCTCCCCTTCCCGTCAGCACCCAGGCCCTGCTCCTGCTCGCTGGAGGGGTGGAGGAGGAGGGAACTTGGTGGACCAAAGTTCTCTGGCTCCGGTTGCATGAACCAGGAGGGCCAAGCACCTCTAGAATTTGAGAGGGACCATCTGGCAGAAAGATGTCAGGAGAGAAGAGGCTGTGCCTGGGGCCAAGCTTATCTCCCTGCAGGCCTGGCCTGGGAACTCAGAAGGCCCCAGAGAAACCTTAATCACAACTCTGTGACTTCCCCAGGTGCCTTGCTTTTTGGAAGAGATGGAAGGAGAGCATTTCTAACTCAAAATCTCTGTGCCCGTGTAGATCTTCCCTTGGCATTTGCTTTGACTTCCTTCCATCTGTCAATCAGTACTTATTAAAAATGTGAAGTTCTGGGTGATGTCACTGGCTAGAATCCATTTCCTTATGGTCCTTCCCGCATCTGCCAGTGGCTGTCCAACTCTTGCCCTCTTTAAAATAAGTCCTGTTTTGTTTTCTTATTTCTCCTCAAGTAAGTGGGAACAAAGCTATTCAATAGGAGATCAGACCAAGGTAGGAGGAGGTCTGGTTCCCAGCAACAAGCCCTTGGGAAGTCCTCTCCATAGACAGGTTCCGTTTTGATTTCTGTCCAGGGTTTCCCTGGCACTGGAAGCTGGTAGAATTCTGACCCATCTGGCTAGCAGAATGCCCCCCACCCTAAGCAGTTTCCCCTCTGAGATGGAAGCCAGGAGTTACACTCTTACATGTTAATAAGTTGTCATGATTATCGCATGTGACAGGTCATAGATTCCGTGACACATAATAAGACACTACCACCCTCGTGCACATACCATGCTGTGGGGTAGAAACGCTTTTCCACTCATGGTTGACAATCTAGTACATGTATTTCATTAACAATGAAATCTATTTCGTTCATAATAAAACGGGATTCCGCAGGGTCCCCCTATTTTAACGTTTTTGAGGACACTTTATGCCAGACTTGAAAGTAAACTCTCCTTAGCCCTTCTACTTGTGGCTCTTGTAATCATAAGCAGCATTTTAGGGACGTTCCTCCTATGCATGGGCGAATGTCCCTCACCCACCCCATCTCATCTAATGGTCTTATTGAATTATTTTGATATTTTGCAACAATCAAATGAAATAGGACTGAAACCATATTTCCAAGTAGTGAGCTGGGAATGCGTACATGATTTAACATGTTGAGGGGCCCATCAGGCTGGGACCTAGTGATGTTCGCTGGGACTTTCTGCTCTTCCAGTCACTGGGCACTAACTTTGTATCCACCACGAAGCCAGCGTTAGCTAAAGACGTTGGTAATCTGTACATTGGCAAGTGCAATGAATGTCCTCCCACCTTATTTTCCAAACGCCTCTGCTGTAATCAACCCCATTGAACACTCTCTTTTTGAAATTTCATCTATTCCTCTCTTTCTCTTAACACTTCTCCCTGGTCTTCACTCTCTGAGCCTTTCCCTCAGCTCACTTCTTAAATATTGATATTCTCCTGTGTTCTGTCCTTCATCCTCATTCTCTTTTCCATTAAATTGTTGTTAGACAATCTCATACATTTTCATGGTTAATTGCCATCTGTGTCAATGAGTCTAAAACCTAAATCATCTTGAGCAAACTGGACAACTTACTTCTTTAAGTCTCAGTTTACTCATCTTTCCAATAAGGCTAATCATGGCCCCCACCATATGCATTTGTGAACTCACCTCGTCTCCCATGCTCTTCCCTTTCCCACAGTAAGAAACCTAGGCATTATTCCATCTTTTTCTCTTTGACACTATCTCCAGCTCA